TAAGGGGTCCATTTCTTCAACTTTATCCTCCAGTATTGATATTCTGTTTTCCATTTCAGTCATTCTAGCTGTGAGGCTTTCCCCTGTTGTTTCAAGTTGGCTTAGTGAGTTTTGTACTTCCTTCTTCATTTCAGCCTGAATTTTCTTCGATGTTTCTATCTCTTTTGTGAATTCATTCAGAAGTTTATCCCCATCTTCTTTTAGGTCTTTGTTCATGTGTTCTTTAAATTCATTGAATTTCTTGATCATGTGTATGATTGCTCTTTTAAATTGTGTCCTGGGTTATCTCTAGGTGGTTCTCCTTGTAGAACTCTTCTACAGGACTGGTAGAGTTTGTGGGGGACAGAGTGTTTTGGCTTTCCATTTTATTATTCTTTTGTTGTGATTTTAGCATGTGAATTTCTTCTGTTTATGATTCTGATATGAGAATTAATTTGAAGTATGCTTCTGTTTGTATTATCTGGGTACCTACATTGTTTCTTTATTGGTTATGTAAAGCTGGTTGGTACAGGGTTCAGGTTTTCTCAGGTTTAATTTGGAGGGAACTCTTGGCTTCAGATCAGCTATTCAGGAGCACCCACAGAAGCCCAATTCAGGTTCCAGTCAGGTACACTCAGCCTTCCTTCACCAAGTGGATGCAGGATCTGAGTGCTCTCAGGCAGTCCCCTGCGTTCTCAGGCCCTCTGCCTGAGGGAGGCCAGAACTCAGCACTCTCTGGCAGTCTCAAATTTTTAAAAACTTAAGAGATCCTAACCAGGCTGGGTGTGCCAGCACTTACCTTTAATCCCAGCACTCAGGAGGCAGAGGCAGGCAGATCTCTGTAAGACCAGCTTGGTCTATATAGTGAGTTCCAGGCCAGCCAGAACTTGGAAAAGAGACCTTTGTCTCAAAAAAAAAAAAATCTTTGCTGGAAAGATGAGCACACTGACTGCTCTTATAGAGGATCCAAGTTCAGTTCCCAGGACCAGTATGGCTGCTAACAGCTGTCCTTAACTCCAGTTCCAGGGGATCAGATGCCCTCTTCTGGTCTCCCAAGCATTGCATGCATGTGGTACATTGACATGCATGCAAAACGCTCATAAAATATGTTAATAAATAATAAATTAAAAATTCAAACCAATGCAGTAAACTCAAAAGGTCCCTAAACAATTTGACATTGTTTAAAGGCCCCCATCCTGAGACGGGCATTGTGTATTCATGGGAGAGCCCACTGGGCCCTCAAATTTAGTTTCTAATCACATTGCATTTTAGACGTAACATATTGAGGGGCTGGAGAGATGGCTCAGTGGTTAAGAACACTGGTTGTTCTTGCAGAAGACCCACATTCGAATCCCAGCACCTACATGACAGCTAACAACTGTCCGTAACTCCAGTTCCAGGGTTTGAAAGGCTCTTCTGTCTTCCACAGGTATTGCACGACATGGGTGCACTTAACTACATGCAGGCAATACACTCATACACATAAAATACAAATAATAAATTATTTTTTTTTAAGTAACATATTGGAATGAGAGGTGAATACTGTGCACAGACTTCCTAGAGGAAATGATTAGGCAAAGAGAGGAAACCAGGAATCACCTCTGAAGCCCATGCCTCTTTTGTAGTTCAGCAGAACTTCAGGCCAAAGGATGGTCCTGTTTACTCCTTTCACTCATTCAGCCTTCTGAGTAGGAGAGCGTGGCCAGTGATGCTTGGTGATGGCCAGGATAAGATACCCTATGCTGGTTTTCCTTCAAGAGAGACTCCTGCCAGGAGTCGTGGCCCAAACCTGTCATCCCAACACTTGAGAGGCTGAGGCAGGAGGGTTGCTGTGAGTTTGAGGCCAGCTTATCTAATAGTAAAACCCTGTTTCAGATGAAGGGGAGGGCTTAAAACCCTGTTTCAGATGAGGGTTTGGGGAGGGTTGGTGTTGAGAGGGGTTGAGTTTTTTTGGGGGGGTTGATACCCAGTGTATTTTGAGGATTTGTTTTATTTTTATTTAATTTTAGAACTTAAAAAGCAAGGCCTCAGGCATTTACTAGATCACCCTTTGGCTAGGAGTCTAGGTAAAGGGTGACTGGGTTTCACTTTTACAAAGTGGACCCATTTGGAGTTTTCTGTTATTGAACCCATTGAACCCAAGGCCTAGACGAGCATCCTATCACTCACCTACATCCTTAGCCCCCAGATGGACCGATTTGGAGTTCATGTGAATACCAAGGGAATTAGCCTCGTTTTCTGACTGCACCATAGGTATTCATGCATGACTGAGAAACTGGAATAAAGCAAAGAAAAAACTTCAGTGTTAAACCAGGTGTGGTGATGCATACCTCTGATCCCAGAACTAAGGAGTCAGAGGCAGGTAGATCTCTGATTTCCAGGCCAACTGGTCTACAAAGTGAGTTCCAGGCCCGTCAGGGTTGCACAGTGAGATCCTGTCTCTACAACAAAACACTATGTTAAGCTGTCAAGCATACTCAGTAAGACATTGAACTTCCATTAGGAAATGGGCTTTAGTTGTTTTAGTCTGTATTATATTGCTATAACAAAAGACCTGAGGCTGTGTACTTTATAAAGAAGTATACTTGACTCACAGTTCTGTGGACATTGTGAAATGATGGGTGATTCTAAACAGCCCAGTGCCATCTCTCTGTCCAAGTCCCTCTGGCTGTATCTCAACGTGGCAGAGAATTGGAAAGGGAACTAGCAGTGTACACAGATAACATAGTGAGTTCCAGGATAGCTGGGGCTACAGGGAGACCCTGTCTCAAAAAGACCAAAAAAAAAAAGCAACTTAAGGGAGAAAGAGGGTTTTTTTGGCTCACAGTGTTGCAGGCACTCTGTGTAAAAACACCCAGGCTTTCTTTCCAGAAAGTTCCAGGAAGCAGATTATTTGTGCTAGCACCTGACTCAGCAGATTAGTGCTGAGCCCCAAAGAAAAGTGTAGCCTCTTATGCCCTCCATTTGTTCGTTCCCCATCACAGCTCAGTTTCTTTGGCTCCCATATATGGCTACATATTTTTCTGACTGGGTGTGATTACGTTGCTGGGCCTTGACAGGCGTTGAACTGTGTATGTTCAGGCACAGACCGTGCTGTTTCCTCCTTTGTTCTAGGAAGGTCCCCACCACAGCAATTCCAAAGGCATAGTTCATCATTGTGGGGAAGACGGTGTTCCTGAGACAGCCAGCCACCCCCAGTGACGTACTTCTTCCCCCAAGGTTCCACCTCCCAAAAAGTTCCTCCCTGTGGACCAAGCTACCAGTATATGAATCCTTGGGAACAAACCACAGCCTACCCAGAGCTCTTGTTTTTGGTTTTGTTTGGAGATGAGCAGAGAAGAGGAATAAGAGTGAATGATTTTTTTTTTAAAGTGAATGATTTAATCAGAACCAACAAAGGCAGGTGTGGTGGCACTGGGCTTTGGTTCCAGTACTTGGGAGGCAGAGCGGATCAAGTTGCCTTGGTCCTGGTATTTTAGCACAGCAACAGAAAAGAAACTAATACAGATGAGGTAGTGGGTACTAGGAGGAACTGGAGGAAGGTGCTGGTAAATGGGTATAAAACACAAATTTATCAATTTCAATCAATAAATTTAAAGTATTATTTAAAAAGAGAAGTAAAGCACACACACCAAAAAAAAAAAAAAAAAAAAACACCCTTACAAAGGCTGAACATGGTAGTTTATCCCTGGTACCCAGCACTTGGAGGATGAGACAAGCTGAATCCTGCAAGTTTGAGGGCAGTCTGGGTTACATAGTGAGTTCCAGACCAGCCTGGACTACAGAATACTATAAAAAAATATAAATAAATAAATAAAATAAATAAATAAATAAATAAATAAATAAATAAATAAATAAGCTTACCAGGCTTACATGTAAAAGTTATGTAAGTTATCCAGGGCCTTAAGTCAGTCCCTGTAGCTATCTGTCTCCTATAGATTCCTGCGTGGACTCAGAGTGTCTCCTATGACCCACTCTGGAGCTGAGTGATGTGCTACACCGGATATGTACAGTATACATTGTTTGCATCAGATTCTCCTCATTTTCCTTCAAATGATACAACTTCATTCTTTATGGCTAGGAAGAGAGAAGAAACAAACTCCATTGTACATATACCACATTCTCTTTATCCATTCCTCTGGTTTTTGTTTTGTTTTTGGTCTTTTTTTGAGGCAGCATCTCCCTGTAGCCCCAGCTGGCCTGGAACTTACTATGTAGACCAGGCTGGCCTCGAACTCACAGAGATCTGCCTGCCTCTGCCCCAGTGCTGGGATTAAAGGTGTGCACCACCACACCCACCACCCATTCCTCTGTGGATGGACACCTAGGTTGGTGCCATAACTCAGCTACTATGAACAGCACAACAGTAAACTTTGATGCTCAAGGATCTTTGTGATGAGTTGACTTGGCATCCTTTGGGTACATGCCCAGGAGTGGTATAGCTGGGTCATATGGTAGGTCTGTTGTTACTTTTTTAAGTAACCTCCATTCTGCTGTAGGGGTTGGACTTGTTTATGCTGCCCCTGCAGTGTATGTGTTCCCTTTTGTCCATAATTTCCACCAGCATTTGTTATTTGGGGTGTGTGTGTGTATGTGTGTCTATACACATGATATGTGAAAGTGGGCGTGCACACTTACCACAGATTCACATATGGAGGTCAGAGTACAACTTTCACTACGGGTTCTGGAGATCAAACCTGGGTTATCAGGCTTGTACAGCAAGCACTGTTACCTCTGAGTCATCCCAGCACACCATTGTTGTCCTAATGACTGCCAACCTGACAGGGTTAGAAGGGAGTCTCCATGTAGTTTTGATTTGTGTTTCTCTAATGGCTAATGCACTTGAACTCTTTTTCATAGATTTGCTGCCCATTTCTATTTCATCATTTGAGAACTTTGTGTTCTAAGCAATGTCCCTTCCAGACGAGTCTCACCCTTTCTTCCCCGGCCTTCTGCTATGGAAACCCTGCCCTCGCCCTCACTGAACCAGCCTCTTCTCTCTCTGTCTCTTTCCCGTGCAGCACGCTGTCTAAATGCTGCCATGCAATGGTGGCGCTCATCTACCCCTTCAGCTGGCAGCACACCTACATCCCGGTCCTCCCACCTGCCATGATTGACATCGTGTGCTCACCCACACCCTTCCTCATTGGACTGCTCTCCAGCTCACTGCCACTGCTCAGGGAACTGCCACTGGAAGAGGTGAGCCTGGGAGCTGGGGCACACAGAGTGGAGGGGAGTGCTGACCAAGGCGCCTTCTCAGAGCTAGAAGTGGGGAGATGCTGTGGCTCATGGGCCACCAAGCCTGATGACCTGAGTTCAATCCCCAAGACCCATATGGTGGAAAGGAAAATATTGATTCCTGCAAGTTGTCCTCTGACCTCCACAGGCATGTTATGACATGCCCATGCATGTGCATAGATGGAAGGGAGGGAGAGAAGGAGAGAGGGAGGGAGAGAGGGAGGGAGGGAGGGAGGAAGGAAGGAAGGAAGGA